CTTTGTGGTTCTCAGAAGCCCCTTCTGGGTCTTCTTTGTTCTTGAATTCAGGCACCCGTGATGACCCCACCCAGCATTTTTGTTAAAGGCCCCTAATTAAAGCCTTTTTCTTGTCTTTCTTTCTTTCTTTCTTTCTTTCTTTCTTTCTTTCTTTCTTTCTTTCTTTCTTTCTTTTTAATGAGCAACTGAGAAGAGAATTAAGATCTGGAAGACATTCATTCTTGCTCTTATATCCAGAGTTGAGGACTTCTCAAATTTCAGGTCAGGCGCTAAAGAAATGAGGGAAATAATGGCTTAGGAAAATATTAAAATATATGAACATACTGGCACCTGGATGGCTCAGTCGATTAAAAGCCTGCCTTTGGCTCAGGTCATAATCCCAGGGTCCTGGGATGGAGCCCTGCATTGGACTCCCTCTCTCTCTGCCTGCTGCTCTGCCAGCTCGTGCTCTCTGTCAAATAAATAAATAAAGTCTTAAAAAAAACACACAATAAAATAAAAAGTAATAAAATTAAATTTAAAAAAAGATCTGGAAGAATGTCCCAGGGCTTTCTTTGTCCTTCCTGACACTGCCATTTTTGGAGAGTCCAGGCCAGTTATTTTTGTAAAATGACCCTCAATTTGGATCTGCATTGTTCCTGGGGCTATCACAGGAGTACGTTGTATCCTTCTGGGTGCTTCATGTCTAGAGTCTCCTGATGTTGGCCTGCCCCACTACTGGTGATGTTAAGTTTGATTGCTTGTTTGGGACGCCCAGCTGGCTCAGTCGGTAGAGCGTGCAACTCTCGATCTCAGGGCTGTGAGTTCAAGCCTGCTGTAGAGATTACTTAAACATAAACATGCACTGCTGTCTCAATTTTACTCAACAACTCTAACACTCATTCTTACTTGAGTCAATTATGTGGTGGCTCTAGATTTGTCCTTTTTATTTTTTTATTTTTTTTAAAGCTTCTGTTTATTTATTTGACAGATCAAAAGTAGGCAGACATGCAGTCAAGGAGAGAGGAGGAAGCAGGCTCCCTGCTGAGCAGAGAGCCCAATGCGATGCGGGACTTGATCCCAGGACCCTGGCCAAAGGCAGAGGCTTTAACCCACTGAGCCACCCAGGCGCCCCTAGTCCTTTTTAAAGTCCATGTTCCTTCCATTAATTGAGTTCATGTCTCTAAATGCAGTGTAGTAATTAAGTACCCGACCCTGGTACTACCTGGGTCATCTTTATCTTGGGCCTTGAATCCTTAGACCAACCTGTTTTTGTTTTTTTAATATTTTATTCACTTATTTGAGAGAGAGCACGAGCAGAGGGAGCAGTAGAAGGAGAGGGAGAAGCAGGCTCCTTGAGGAGTCAGGAGCCCGGCGCAGGGCTCAATCCCAGGATCCCGGGATCGTGACCTTAGCCAAGGCAGACACTTAACCAGCTGAGCCACCCAGGTGCCCTAACCTGGTTTTGAAGCTCATCTCTAGCACTTGCTGGTAGTCTGAGCCTTGAAAAGTCTCTGAGCTGTTATGTTTCTCTCTTTCTTCACCTGGGAGATGAGGGTAATGATATGTATCTTACAGAGAGGTTGTGAGGAGCGAAGTTTCTGTCAATGGGAAGTGCTTGGCACTGAGTCGGGCCTGTTCTGGGTCAGGCTACGTAATCTCTCTGTCTGTGACCCCCTCATTTGTAAAATGGGCTTGCAGTGAGGAGCAGCTAGAACCCTGACCAGAGGACCTTTGGTTCTGTCCCCGGCGAACAGCTGCTCCCAGAGTTTTCTCAGTATTGCTCTCCTGGGATGTCTTGAGGGCAGTGAACATGCCATGTTCGGATTCTCATCGTCTCTCCCTCCATCCCACTGTCTACAGCTTGTGGGGATAGGCCCTGTTTCTTGAGCGTTCAGGTTGGAGCCTGGATCCATCCTCCTTTCTGCTCTGCCCAGAACGGCCGCCCTACATGGAGCCCCACACAACTTTGTCAGCGGTAATCTGGTTGGAATGACATTTTGTCAAAAATACCTTTCGCTTTAGGGCGCCTGGGTGGCTCAGTTGGTTGTGTCACTGCCTTCGGCTCAGGTCGTGATCCCGGAATCCTGGGACCGAGTCCCACATCGGGCTCCCAGCTCTGTGGGGAGTCTGCTTCTCCCTTTGACCTCCCCTCTCATCTCTCTCTCACTCTTTCAAATAAATAAATGAAATCTTTTAAAAAAAAATTTTTAGAAGATTTTTATTTATTTATTTGACAGACAGAGATCACAAGTAGGCAGAGAGATAGGCAGAGAGAGAGCGGGGAAGCAGGCTCCCCACTGAGCAGAGAGCCCAATGCGGGGCTTGATCCCAGGACCCTGGGATCATGACCTGAGCCGAATGCAGAGGCTTTAACCCATTGAGCCACCCAGGCACCCCTAAAAATTTTTTTTTAAATGCCTTTTGCTACAGTAATTTTCTTATTTTTTTAATGATTTTTTAAAATGTCTTTTCCTCTGAGCTTTTTGGGTTTTTTTTTCCTTTTTTTCTTTTTCTTTTATTTTATTTGTTTATTTAATTAATCTCTATGCCCAATGCAGAGCTCGAACCCCCCACCCCGAGATCAAGAGCCCCATGCCCCTCTGTGAACCAGCCAGGCTCCCCACCCCCAACCTTAGTAATTTTTCGAAGATTGAGAAATTGGGAATCTTTGTGTAGTCTTACAAATATTTTTGTTGACTTTTTAGAATTTAAAAAAGAAATCTAACCTTCAATTACTTTCCAGCCAATTATTTGTACTTTTCTGTTCGCCACAGCAAGATGCTGAAATAACCTAAGTGTCTGACAATGGAATGGTTTCTTTCCTTCCTCTTTCCCTTTCTTTCTTCTTTTCTTCTTTCTTTTGTTCAGTAAGTACAGAACAGGATGTACCAAAGATTTAATATGACAGATGACAAGAGTATATGTTTGCGTAAACACAGACACAAAACACGACTTTGTAATGAAGGCTCCTCCTGCGGCAGAGTTTGGAGGTTTTCCTCTTATTCCATCCTCCACTGTCAGGAGAGGAAATCCCCCTGAGCATCCCTGCGCCCTCCTGAGAGCACACCTAGACCACCAGGTCCGGCCATTCTACCTCCCAGCAATTTCTCAGGGCTGTGTTTGTGGTGAGTAACTCTGAGGGATGAAGGCTAGCTTTCCACCTGCTCAAGTAGAGGCAAATGCCCCCAGCTCAGTGTTCCTCAGCTGCAGGGCAAGCTTCTCTGTGTCACCCTCTTGGGACTTGAGGGAAAGGAGAACTGATGCAAATATTTTGCTCCTGCTGTTTGCTCTGCAGTGAGTAATAGATTCCTCTGTCTCAGACACAGGGGTCTCATGTATCTGCGTCAGACTAACTCTTTAGCTTGAGAGAAGGGTATAACCCCGGGCCCTGAGAGGAGCCTGTTCAATCACTTATCACATACATATACTATTGCCTTTAGAATACGAAAATCAGTTTTGTTTTTTTAAAAAGAAAGGCAAAACAAAGCAAAACCAGACATACACAGAAAGTCAAATCTTGCACACCAGAAGAGAGTAGGGGTGCCTGGGTGGCTCAGTTGGTTAAAGGTCTACCTTCAGCTCAGGTCAAGATCCCAGGGTCCTGGAATAGAGTCCAGCATCGGGCTCCCTGCTCAGCGGGGAGATCCCTCTCCCTCTGTTTCTTCCCCTGCTTATGCTCACTCTCTCTCTTTAAAAAATAAATAAATAAATAAATAAATAAATAAATAGAATCTTTTAAAAAAATCATTTAAAAATCAGAAGAGAAAAGAAAAAAATTAAATTAAATTAAAAAGAGGGCTGCCTGGGTGGCACAGTTGGTTGAACATCAGATTTTTGACTTTGGCTCAGGTCATGATCTCAGGGTGGTAAGACCAAGCCCTGCATTGGGTTCTGCACTCAGCATGGAGTGTGCTTGGGATTCTCTCCCTCACCCTCTGTTCCTCCTCTCACATGCACATGTACATTCTCTCTCTCAAATAAATAAATAAGATATGTATATTTTTTAAATATTTTAATTATTTCTTTGAGAGAAAGAGCGAGAGAGAGAAAGAGGGATTGAGAAAACGAGTTGGGGGAGGGGCAGAGGGAGAAGCAGACATCCTGCAGAGCATGGAGCCCAACGTGGGACTTGATCCCAGAACCTTGGGATCACCTGAGCTGAAGTCAGACACTTAATCAGCTGAGCCACCCAGCCACCCATAAATAAAATATTTTTAAAAAATAAAAAGAAAGAAAAAAGAAATAAATATATATACACATACATACCCAAAAAAAGGAGGAGGAGAAAAAAACTTAATGCAAATTCAGAAAACAGCAGCCATCCAAAGAAGAAAATAAAGAAGCCTATTCACACTTGTCTAAAGAAACTAGATTAATGCCCCAATAGATATTTTTCCAGACTGTTTTCCATATAGAGTCCTATATCTTTATTAGTCTTCTGTAAAAATAAAATTGTAACCTAATGAGAGCTTAGTAACCACCTTGGTCTAGTTAAGCACCCCACAGACTGGGGGTCACGGTGGTGAAACGCTCCCCCAGCTTCTTGAGCCCACCAGGGATTGCCAGTCTACGAAGACTTTCGCTGTCCCCCAGCTAGAGTCAGGGCCTCTTTTTGCCCTGGTACTTCCTGGGAACTCTTGGGGCAGGAAACGGTGCTACCCTGGCTTTGGGCCTAATAGCTTGGGGACCACAGATGCAAAGGAAACCACCTTCCCCTCCCATCTCCTCCTCCGCACCCCGTTGTTGTCAAGCATGCCTCCGTATCACCTCAGCTCTGACCCTCATCCCTATCCCGCTTCACTCCTGGCCATCCCAATTCCCGGCCAAGTACCCGTTCCAGATCCACCCGCCACAAACCCCTCTTGCCTCGGCTGAGACCCCAGAGCACCCTTCCCCCACACCGTCTCAGACCTAGAAAGAGCAAGTGATGGAGCCATCATCACGGCAGCTGTGGGAGCACTGTGGGTGGGGCAGGATGCTGGGGTGGGGTGGGTGGAGCCAGGGCTACTTCCTTTCCCCCTGGGGCCCATCTGCCCAGTCCTGCTCCCGCTTCAGGAGGAGTTGGAGCTGGCCTGGCCCCAACCTTATGCCCTCACCGAGTGAGCTGGTAAGGGGTACAACCTGGGGACCAGGGGCCTTTGCGGACCTGGGAATATGCTTCGGCTTGGAAAGACCCTTGTAGATGATGGGAAGAGAGGACCAGGAGCTATCGGGGCCAAATAGGGTCGGGGAAGGGGCGGGAGGGGTGGCCATTGCTGGAGCACAAGCAGCCCAGGCCTGAGGGGGCCTGTGGGTCTGAGGGGATGGCAGATCTGCCAGCGTCTGTCCCCTTGTTCTTTCTGATAATAGTAAAAGCAAGGGTGGAAAAAGCCGTTAAACCACAAGTTAGGCCTGGCAGTCAGCAGGGAAGTGGGCAGAAGGGGAGGGCCTGGCCAGGTTCTCCCCCTCAGCTCTTTCTATGTGTGTATTTCTCCAGCTTACCCACCGTCAGTCCCCCCTCCTGCCCATGCCTGCTGCCATGAGGGTGACCCTGTTTCTCCTCCTCCTTGGGGGCATCTGGACTCAAGAGGTGATTCCAGATCCTCAGGACATCACAGCCACTTCAGAGAAGCCTGTACCGGGAGGGTCCTCTGTTTCTCTGGCCTCAACTTTCTCTGAGGCCGAGAACCTCGACTTAGCAACCCCCAACCCTGTGACAACAAAGGTCCCTGAGGAGGGCAACAGCACCATGCACCAGGTCTCCCCACCTTCCTCAGACCTCCGTACAACCAATGAGATGTCCTTTCCTGAGGCTTCCACTGCTGCCACCAGTGACCCCACCTCGGAGTCAACAAGCCTGGAAATTAATGCGACCGGTAACCCTGCTGAAACACCAAGAAACTCTCTGGCACTCCACGTTGTGACTGATGGAACCGTGACACCTGGCTCTCTGGAGACCTCTGACAGAGCTGGTGGACCCCCTGTCACCATGGCAACTGGCACTCTGGAGACCTCTGACGGAGCCGGTGGACCCCCTGTCACCATGGCAACCGGCACTCTGGAGACCTTTGATGTAACCAGTGGACCCCCTGTCACCATGGCAACCAGCTCTCTGGAGACCTTTGATGTAACCGGTGGACCCCCTGTCACCATGGCAACCGGCTCTCTGGAGACCCCTGACGGAGCCAGTGGACCCCCTGTCACCATGGCAACTGGCACTTTGGAGACCTTTGATGTAACCAGTGGACCCCCTGTCACCATGGCAACCAGCTCTCTGGAGCCCTCTGACGGAGCCAGTGGACTCCCTGGCACTGTGGCAACCGGCTCTCCGCGGATCCCCAAGGGGACCCATAGCTCCCCCATTTCCACGGTAAAAATACTCATTGTGACTACGTCAGCGTCCCTCAAAGACACAAGCAGTACCCAACTTTCAGATCAGGGGACAAAGGGCACCCTGCTGGTGGCTGTGCTTGTGGCCCTGGGGATGGTCCTTGTCCTCATGGCCCTACTCCTGCTGTGGCGCCAGCGGCAGAAGAGGAGGACGGGAGCCCTGATGCTAAGTGGGGGTGGCAAGCGCAACGGGGTGGTGGATGCCTGGGCTGGGCCGGCCCCGGTGCCCGACGAGGAGGCCCTGATGGTGAGCCCCTCAGGAGGCTCTGGGGGCGAGAAGGGCCCTGGGGCATCTGTGGGGGACGGGGCTGGCAGGCAGCCCACCCTCACCACGTTCTTCGACAGGCGCAAGTCTCAGCAGGGCTGCCTGGAGCTGGGGGAGCTGAAGGCCGGCTCAGCCCCGGGCCTGCAGGGGGAGGAGGAGCCGCTGGTGGGCAGCAAGGATGATGAGGCTGCAGAGTGCCAGGGAGCCGGGGAGACCGAGGCCCCTCAGTGCTTGTGAGGACCGAGAGCGGAGGCCAGTTCCCACCTTCCATCTTCTTCCAGTCGTCTTGTCGCCAGCATGTTCATCTGAACCCCATCCAGCTTCTGAACCGCGGGGGTCTTCCCGCCAGCGCCCACCTCGGGTGCCCAGGGCCCTATACCCACGGGACGCTTCCAGACTGAATCCATCACCCTTCCTCATCCACTCTGACTTCTCCCCACCGCCCTCCCCATGTTTAGTCCTGCTGAGTCTCCACAGTAATGAACTTCTGAGAATGATGATTTCTCGGAGGACTCCCCAGGGACCCCAGAGTGTAGGGAGGAGGGTGGAAGCAAACTCCCACCTCAGATCACTCTGAAAAGTACTTTTCGGCCCCATAGATTAGGACAGTCCTGCTGGATCAGGCCAGGACCCTCCTTTAACTGCGTGCTCTGTGGGGGGGCCCCCTGGAGTCACCCAGCTGTGCTCCCAGGTGTGCCCTTGGCTCACGATGCCACCCTCCCTCCACCCGAGGACGGAGGCGGCCAGAGGTGGCTGCTGCTACTCCTCCCAAGGGCAAGGGTGAGAAGGGTTTCCGGCCGGTCAAGTTCTCAGAAACCCCGGCGCCTGCGTGGGTCCAGGCATGGGTGCAGTTGGTGTGCAAGAGGCCGGGCCTTGGCTCTATGTGTGAAGTTGTGGGGATGAGTACAGCGGCGTGAGGAGGGGTGGGGAGGAGCGCAGGACGGGCTGTCCGAGGGGCCACCCTGAGGAACTGCTAAGAACATCGGGCCTCGTCTTTGCTCAGGTGGGGTGGAGGTAGCAGATTTACTTGTCTGCAGCCCAATAAAGACGGTGGGGCCTGAGAGAAAGTCCACATGTGTGACCCAAGTGTGGTTCTTCGGCTCAGGTCTGTCCTGCTCAGCCTCCCCAGCCCCTGCCTGCTTGCTCTCCAGGAAGGGGGAGAGGCTGAAGACGGGGAGTTTACTGTTACCCAGGTACCGTGTTTGTATGTCATCTTCCCCAGGGAGAGGGCGAGCTCCTTCCCTTCTTCAAGGGCAATCAGTGAGACTGGCAGGCCCCCAGAACCAGGAGCTCCCTGTATGGCTCTGGGGTGGAATGCAACGGGGGGGGGGGGCAGAGGGACAAGACCCCACCCCTGGCCAGAGCCTGGGGGCCCACATGCGCCAGAGGCAGTTGGTACTTCCCCAGGACATGAGGAAATTCACACAGAGGAAGTTGTTGACTCAGAGGGGCTCAGTGGCTGAGGGATAGGTTGACCTACAATAAGAGAGGTCCTTGGGGAGGGGGAGAGTGTGACTACCCCATGCCGGTCCTGAGGGGCGGGGATCTGGAAACAGCCTGGGTGCGTCTGTTCCCAAATGGGAGTGGAGGGGAGGGGGATGAAGGGACAGAATGGTGGCCATGGGTCCACGCAGCCACCATGGTTTGTGCCACCTGTGGTTGGTCTGCGGACAGGCTGAGCTGGGACGAAAGTGCAGCCCTCATGAGCCAAGCTGGGGAACACGGGGCTGAGTGCCTTTTCGCAGCTGTTCGCTGGGAGCTGTTTGGACGGGCCTTAGCCCCAGCAACAGGGGCGAGTTCCCAGAGTCCCTTAGACACACCGCAACTGTTGTTTCTGATTTGCCAAACCAAGCGCCCCGATTTCAGGTTTAGAAAATACTGTCACGAACTCCAAAGCCATCAGCTCCACCTCCTCTTAATGGACACATGCAATCACTTTTTTCCCCCAAGATTTTATTTATGTATTTGACAGAGAGAGAGACGCAGCAAGAAAGGGAATACAAACAGGGAGAGTGGGAGAAGGAGATGCAGACTTCCCTACAAGGATGGAGCCCCATGTGGGACTCCATCCAAGGACCGTAGGATCATGACCTGAGCTGAAGGCAGACGCTTAACAACTGAGCCACCCAGGCATCCCTGCAATCACTTTTCTGAACTATTACCGGTTTCTGGGTCCTGGGCAGATCCTGAAGGAAATGATGCGGGGGAGGATAGGTACGGCTCCCAAAAGGGCTCTGACAGCCCGGAAAATAACACGATATGTGAAAAGTGTTCAAATAGAGGTACAGACAAAAATTTTGTGAGTGCACCCAAAAAAGGGAGTGAGACACTGCTCCTGGGGGAAGGGTAGAAACCTCCAAAAGCCAAGAGCTGACTTAGTTGAGAGTCTTGTTCAAGGACTTTGAGGCACCGCTATCCTCCCAGTGGCCATGGGGCCAGCAAGTGGTGGGGCCTCAGTAAATATTCATTTGAATGAATGAATGGTGCTAAAAACCATGTTCTCAAAAACCTATGCAATGACTTTGAAAAATGTCTACAATATAACATTACCTGGGAACGAAAGCTAGTTACTAATCTGTAAATAAGTATGAATCTAATTTTGTAATGAAAATGCAAAAACATAGGGATGCCTGTGTGGCTCAGTCAGTTGGTCCAACTCTCGATTTCAGCTCAGGTCCTGATCTCAGGGTCATGAGATCAAGCCCCGTGTCAGGCTCCACAGTCAGTGAGAAGTCTGCTTGAGATTCTCACTCTCCCTCTGCCCCTCTCTGCCCTCGTATGTTCGAGCTCTCACTCTCTCAAATAAACAAATAAATCTTAAAAAAAAAAGGAAATAAAATGCAAAAACAAGACATTTATAGATAAACAATTCGAAGGGAATATCCCAGATGGTTACTGTGCATATCTATCAGGTGATAGATTTATGAACGAATTTTTTTTGTTTATACCTTTCTGTATTTCCAAGTTTTATATAATAAATGCCTGTCACTTTTACAATTAGAAAAAAGATTAATAAGAAGGTGTTCACTGAGGGGATGGAGTCTGGTTCAAGAGAGGAGGCTGGAAGGGCAGGTTGAAGCCCGTCTCTGAAGGGTGAGGGAATTTGAGTTCAGTTCTGAAAGAAGTGGGGAGGTCACCAAACCTAAGTCTGTTCTAGACTTTTCCAGGGCTTTTCAGAACCATCACGAACCCCCACTCCTTCTTGTCGTTTCTTCTTGGGTGCTGAGTTCTCTGACCCTTCTTCCATAATCCTTTGGAGCCATTCCTTCTCCCAGGCCCTAACACATCTTGCCTGGATCCTGCCCAGTCTTCTCTTTGGGTTTCTTGACTCCCAGTCACTTCCATCCTCTGCCTATGATGGTCCCAGTGATCCTTCTAAAAGGCCACTCTATCCCAATTATCCCTGCACCTCTTACGGCAGTCAAGATGGACCTTACAGGGTAAGACCCCTTCAGGATCTGGACCCTGCCTGGTCAGTCCTCAGTGCAAACACTGTGCCCTCCAGGCTCATCAAAGTCCTGGTAACTCCCTGAATATGCCATGTTATTTTCTTGGTGTGGGGGATGGGGTGGGGGGGGAGAGTGTGCCCCAGGTGCCCCAGGGAGTGTATATAGTTTAAAATGTTAAAAATATTTATTCTGTCCAGGGGTGCCTGGGTGGCTCAGTCATTAAGCGTCTGCCTTCGGCTCAGGTCATGATCCCAGAGTCCTGGGATCGAGCCCCGCATAGGGGTCCCTCCTCTGCGGGAAGCCTGCTTCTCCCTCTCCCACTCCCCCTGCTTCTGTTCCCTCTCTTGCTGTCTCTCTCTCTCTGTCAAATAAATAAATAAAATCTTTTTTAAAAAATTCATTCTGTCCAGACAATAAAAAAGTACACATTATGATTATGGTTCCAAATCAAGCTTTGTCCTACAAAATGAACATTCCAGAGGGTAAAAGGATTTAGATAGAGAAGGTCATGAGAAATCTATTAGTACAACTCATTTTTACAGACAGGGAAAGGGCCTCCATGCATGAATCTAAGGACACTTCATTTCTGAAAATGGATATTTACACCTAAGTGTCCTCTGCATCCCTATTTCTGACCCCGGACCATGTTCTGTTTGGCAGGCAGACCCTGTGAAGTGTGGGCTGCAGGCAAGAGAGGATGCCAGTCAGTTCTGAGTCTTCCAAGCCCTTCTGCTGAGGGAGTGTGAAATAGACCCCATCTTTGAGCCCCAAAACTCAGGGGCCGTACCTGGAGGCAGATTAAGCTGGAACTGTCAACAAAAGAAGAAAGGAATTTAATCAGAAGAGTCTAAGATTCCCAAAGTAGTAGCAAGAGCAGACCCAGACAAAAGTAGAGAGAAAACTTTCTTTTTTTTTAATTTTTAAAAAAGTTTTATTTATTTATTTGACAGAGAAAGATCACAAGTAGGCAGAGAGGCAGGCAGAGAGAGAGGAAGGGAAGCAGGCTCCCCATGGAGCAGAGAGCCCAATGCGAGGCTCCATCCCAGGACCCCGGGATCACAACCTGAACCAAAGGTAGAGGCTTAACCCACTGAGCCACTCAGGCACCCAAGAGAAAACTTTCAAACCCTAACAGGGTATTGCTTGAGGATGCTATGCGGTGGGCGGCTGTCTAGTTCTGGGGGGGACCTGGGGTAGAATCATTAGACAGAAGCAGCCCAGGGTACTTTGAAGACAATCTATTTGCTCCAGACAGCGTGCTGCAAGTGGGCGTCTGTGTGCCTCAGTTTCCTCGGGTGCTCAGTACCTGCCTGCCGACTTTGTGGATGGCCCAGCTGGACTATGGACCGATCCATCCCAAGAGGTCGGCCACGAAGAGAGGCACTTCCTCAGTCTCACATTGTAGGCCTCTGCCTGAAGCCAGCCCACCCCCCCACGTGCCCTGGACACATATCTTGACTCCTCGCCAGACTCCTCAACCGTCAAGATTCAGCTCAAATGTCACAGCCTTTGTGAAGCTGCCCTTGCTGCTTCCACCCCGGCAGACACTTCCTTTTTTAAAGATTTTATTTATTTATTTGACAGAGACACAGCAAGAGAGGGAACACGAGCAGGGGGAGTGGAAGAGGGAGAAGCAGACTCCCTGCTGAGCAGGGATCCCAACGGGGGACTGGATTCCAGGACCCTGAGATCATGACCTGAGCTGAGGGCAGAGGCTTAACTGACTGAGCCATCCAAGCATCCCTAGACTCAGCATTTCTTCCACAGGGCGTCGTGTGACCACACAACACTGGGCTGTAATTATGGCACAGTGTCCCTCACTCATTAGAGTGGAGCCCCTCCAAATCCACAACCCATCTTTGTGATTCCAGGGTCCAGGGCCTCACACACAGTAGCCACTAATATGTGTTTCCTGAATGGAAGGATAAAGGAATTAATGAAAGAACGAATGATGGTTTTAAGTAAACTTATGGCAAGCTTAGATCTGTATTGGTTTGTTTTTGTTTTTAAAGATTTTATTCCTTTATTTAGAGAAAGAGAGAGAGAGAATGCACATGCACTCAGGCTGGGAGGGGCAGAGGGAGAGATAGAATCCCAGGCAGGCTCCAGGCCCAGCATGGAGCCCAATGCAGGGCCCAGTCCCACAATCCAGAGATCACAACCTGAGCTGAAACCAAAAGTCTGACTCTCAATTGAGCCACGCAGGAGCCCCTTGGATCTGTCTTTTGAGTGAACCTAGCATCTAGAAGAATGCCCTAAAGGTAATACAACCCAAGGGGAGAATATTATTCCAGTATAATTTGGATATAGCGGGGGGTCAGACCTAAGGGGAAAAAGAAGGTCAAGTTTGAAATACACTTATTCAGAAAACCAGATTTTAGACTAACTGGCTATTGGGTGCCGGAGGGAAGAATGAGGTCAGACTTTAAGATTTCTTTCTTGGGAGGTGGAGGAGATATGGATGACATTACATAGAAATGCAGAGAGATGAGCAGTTTGGGGGGAGAACATAATGAGTTCATTTTTAGAACTTGGGAGGGAAGGCGGAGCTAGAGAGAGATTTGAGAGTCATCTGATTTTAGATAGCAATTTAAATAATAGTATTGATGCATAAATTATAT